GGTCCTCTCACTGTTGTGGCCTCTCCCGTTGCGGAGCACAGGCTCCAGGCGCGCAGGCTCAGCGGCCATGGCTCACGGGCCTAGCGGCTCCGCGGTATGTGGGATCTTCCTGGACCGGGGCACGAACCCGTGTCCCCTGCATCGGCAGGCGGACTCTCAACCACTGCGCCACCAGGGAAGCCCCATCACAGTCTTATTAATTAGTTTTAGCAACTATTAATAATTTTCTAATTACTTGATTCCTTTTATATTTATTAGTTGGCATTCTACTGTAAGGAACATTCCTTTCTCTTCTATTTATTTGCTTATCTATTTATTTATTTATATCAGTATGGAATCACAGTTTCTTATTTTAGTCAATGGTTTAAAATTTGCTGCTATCAGTATATATTGTGATATTCCAATTGCTTCAGACTTGTACATTGGAAGCCCCTTTCATATATGTCCTCTGTTCTGATATGTTGGTATCATTTTTAAGTCTTTCTTATTTTCTGTCAAAACAAGATTTTCCAGGCATATTTTGTACTTTCCCTGTCACAAACCTGGAATCTTTTCTCCAAAGACTCCTGGTTTCTTTTAAAGTGAAGAGTGGTATTTAGAAACCAAAATCTGGGACTAAGTGTACTCATTGTCACATGGATGTCATTGCTTCTAGTATCTCTCAGTGACAGTGGAAAATATACTGAGATAAGTTTATTAAAATATGTGCAAGACATGTACACTAAAAACTATAAGACATTGCTGGGAGAAATTTAAAAGATCAGAATAAATGGATAAATATACTATGTTAACAGATTCTAGGACTCAGTGTTATTAAGATGTCAATTATGAAGATGTCTTCTGCTTAGCATCTCACAAGACTGCAATCAATTTATTGGCTGGGATCATGGTCTCATCTGAAGCTTGACTGGGGAAATACCTGCTTCTGTGCTTACTCCAGTTGTTGGTGACATTCAGTTCCTTGCCGTTATAAGAGTGAGGAATTCATTTTTCTTTCTGGATAGAGCTCCTTGTAGGCAGTCAGCTGGAGGCTGCCCACAGCTCTTAAAAGCTGCCTGCATTTCCTTGTCATGTGGGATTTCCCCACATGACACATGCACACACACACACCCACACACATTTAATTTTTAACCTCCAATTCCATTTCAACACCAAAATGTACCTTCTAGGCTTCCTGTTCAACAATGAGAAACCTAGATCCCATTATATGTGCAAATGTATTTACTCAGTTTTTTCAAGCCTGGAACATATAGGTTTGCTGCAAGGAAACAGAAGATATTATGTGGTATTTGAAAAAAAAAATGGCAGGAAAGATGTCATGACTTTGTTCTCTTTTTTGGAAAAGGAATTTGATCATCCATGGTTTTGTTTGTTTTTTCTACTTGTTTGAATAAAACCTTTAACAGTAGAGGTCAGTAAAAATCATGTAGAACCTTGTAAGCCATGTTAGAGAGTTTGGGTTTTATTCAATGGGAATACATTGGAGGGCTTCCTGTTAAGTCATTGCATGTTTGTTTGTTGTAAGTAGCATTCACATCATTTTCCAAGTTATTTCCTGGTAATGTTTATTATTTACTAATTCTTCAACTTATTCTAAAACAAGATTTGAGATGGTTAGAGCAATCCATACCAAAAAGTTAGAACATACATAAAATAATGGGGCAAATTGGGATAAAGAATAAGTGGAGCTGGAGAACAAAAGGCCAGGGTGAGGCCAGTTCAAAATATGCTTAACTTTATAAAGTACTTTAAAGTCACAAGAGGTATTCTTTTATCTGAGTTTTCTAGAGACTAGAACATTTTGAAATGCCTCATCCCCCTTCCCTTGAGATATACTCACTCAGGTTAACAGGCCTTCACAGTAACCCTCAACCCAGCATCTACACCACACAGAAATGAGACTCATGATGGGATAGTCCACAGATTGTTTGTCTTGCACAAACTTTTCGGAAGCCTTCCTGATTTCTGATAATTTAACCCTTTGAAGTTAGGAGAGAAAATGGACATTTTTAATCATGGTAGCCAGCCAAGGCAAGCAATTCAAGCCAAAAATCCACTCCATCTTTAGTAGGACGTAGAGTTTTAAATTATAATTGACCTCTTGAGAGGAGAAACGCATGGCTTTCCACAAGGAAAAACTGAGCACTTTTGTTCATGAGCACTGTAATCACTATCATAGTAACAAATTAGGAGAGAACTCATTTTAAAATCTGATATAATTTATTATACATTACTTCATTCTCTACTCCCTTGCTTGGTTTTTAATGGTTTGTGGCTACTTGCATACAACAATGAAGTTTCAAAGAAACTGAAGTTACAAAAGGACAATTATTTAATGCAGGAAGTATAAACCATTGCATTGGGGGATTGGAAGACATTTTTTAAAGTTCTCATATTATCTGTTTAATGATGTGTTTCTATGTGGTGAGTAATGTCTTACATTCTTGCCAAGAATATTTTGAAAGGAGTTTGTTAAAAGTATGTCGGCTAAATCACTTTTGGTATATCACTGCTAATGGTGTCATTCGCACGTTGTGAAACACAGCTCCAGTTTAATTTTGCCAAAAAAATTAGGTCATGGCAAAATACTATACTAAAACTGCACGGAGATGGGGAATGAGGATAAAGCAAAGGAAGACACCAATTCTTTTTTGTAAAGCATGATAGGGATTGGACAAAACAGGGTAGTAAGGCTGAGCCCTTTTAAACAGATACTTTTTTCGTGGTGTGTGTGTATTAATTCCAGTTCAGTATAAATGATGAATTAACTTAAAATTGGGCTAACTGGCTGCTCTGGTACCTGGGTAGTGCCCGTACTCTCAAGTTAACCTAATTGTACGGAGACGCCCTTGTTTTCTGACTTCATACACAAACCATCGTGATTATTGTATTTCAACCTACCTTTTTCTTTTTCCAGTCAGGAAAAGGAGCTTAATGCAAATTAAGCCTTTGATGAGAAGGCACTTAATTTATAATTATTGTTGTTGTTATTATTAACATTAAATCACGGGAATGGTTTTGTTGGAAGTTACCCACCAGGACCTGCAAATCTATTGAGGTGACACACGCCCCAACTCTCCTTACCCAGGAGTGGTCCTCGGCTGGGGCGCTTTGAGCCACTGCGCTGGCTGAGCTCCGAGGAAGGTGCGTCCCTGCTCCTCCCAGACCCATGCGCTGGGCTGGTGGAAAGCGAGGCGGGACAGTCATTGTTCTCCCAGGCCTGAGGAAAAGTGCCCGGGCTACCACCACCTCTCATTTTCGGGCGAAAATAACCCCAGCTACCGCTCTCTGGGCTTGGGATGGTTCTCCACAGCGCGACCTTCCCTTTCCTAGAGCGGGAAGCCCAGCGAACACTCAGAGTCTCCTTTGTGCGCTCCTCTGGAGCCGGCTCGGCACACAGCGCACCCCAGCGGCCGCCTTGGCTTCCTTCTAGTCCTGGCCACTAGGATTCCGGAGAGCTCGCCAGTCGCCTCCGCGGCCGCCTCGGAATCTTGGGACTGGAGAGACTGCGAGAGCCAGTCTCAGCCAGACCCCAGGGAAAGCGCGGGGCTGCTGCACCCCGCCACACCTGGGAGCAGTGAGGACCGGGAGAGGCGGGGCGCGGCAGGGGGGGGGGCCCGGGGCCGCTCTCTGGGCTTGGGATGGTTCTCCACAGCGCGACCTTCCCTTTCCTAGAGCGGGAAGCCCAGCGAACACTCAGAGTCTCCTTTGTGCGCTCCTCTGGAGCCGGCTCGGCACACAGCGCACCCCAGCGGCCGCCTTGGCTTCCTTCTAGTCCTGGCCACTAGGATTCCGGAGAGCTCGCCAGTCGCCTCCGCGGCCGCCTCGGAATCTTGGGACTGGAGAGACTGCGAGAGCCAGTCTCAGCCAGACCCCAGGGAAAGCGCGGGGCTGCTGCACCCCGCCACACCTGGGAGCAGTGAGGACCGGGAGAGGCGGGGCGCGGCAGGAGGGTGGCCCGGTGCCTGAGCAGCTTCGCCGAAAGCCGGCCGGACTGGAGCAGGGCGAACGGGGAGGGTCTCGAGGCAGAGTCCAGCTCCTCCAAGGGAGGGACCCCAGCTGGGGTGGAAAACCAGCACCAGCAAGCCGCAGAGAGGCGCCGCGCCGATCATGGAGCAGAGCGGCCCCGGCTCCGCGCGGCCGCAGCAGCAGTGGGACCAGGACTCGGTCGAAGCGTGGCTGGACGATCACTGGGACTTTACCTTCTCTTACTTTGTTAGGAAAGGCACCAGGTAAGAAGAGGACCCACGGAAGACCCTGCCGGGGCATGGAGCGTGACCTGGGGCTATTCTCTCTCCCCTATTGAATTTTCCCCTTCGTTAACCATTAAACCGTCTCCACTCTCAGGCCCTTTGCTTTTGAAGTAGGGCCATGATCCTGTTAACGGTGTAGAGACCTCGACTTTAAGGCGAGTACAGTCGAAAAACCGTCGGATTCGATCCAACTTGCTCACAAAGTTCAAATACAAAAATGAACGTGCCGATCCCCCCCATACACACACACACACACACACACACACACACACACACACACACACACACACACACACACACACACACAGGCAGCCCGCCCCACACACACACACACACACACACACAGGCTGGCAGCCCTGGTATTCCCTGGGAGCAAGATTATTTTCATATATCTGCGCTCACGGGCCTTCCTCTAGCCCTTCTCTAGCCTCCTGGTTCCCCTAAAGCTCCTTAGCGAAACCAAAACAGATTTTAAGCCCCTTCCCTGCAGCTCCGGAAGCACCATTTCCAACGCGTTCCCTGTGGCTCCGCTCCTCCCCCGTCCCTCTCCGCCCCGGCCCTGGCGGGGCGGGGAAGCCAGGGTGGGGGCGAGACCACGAAGAAGCCCAAAGGCAGCAACATGCCGGAACCTTCCCAAAGTGAGTGATGTCGCCTTTTGCCCCCTTCCAGTCCCCTGGTTGTCCCGCGCTCCCCTTTTCCTTCGCTTTTGCGCGCAAGGCGGCGCCGCCGAACGGGCTCCGCGGAGGGGTTCGTGGCGTGCACACAAAGGGAGGTGGGGAGGCGCGGCGGTGAGCGGACCCCAGCGGGTGACAGGTCCCGCGGCCCGAGGCGACCCCAGAGGCCAGCTCTTCCTGGTCCGGAGCCAAGCGCTGGGGCGGCTGCTGCGGAGGGCGGGGAGGAGGGAGCCTGTCTTTTGGGAGGCGGGGTCCTGTCCTTTGGGAGGCGGCTGCCCAGCGAGCAGTCGGGGCGCGCGTGGGAAACGCTCGCGGGAGACTTGGAGAGGAATTGAGACTGAAGCCGAGGGTCTAGGAGGGTGGAACGGAGAGTGCGGGGCGGGCGGGTGCCCCGAAGCCGGAGGAGTTGGTGCGAAGCCGGGGCGCGGGCAAGGCTGCTGCGCTCGGACTCGGGCTGACTCCCAGACGCACCCCTTTGGAGAAGGGACCCGAACCTCGCCGTCGCCGGCTCCCGGCAGCGGCCTTCGGGCAGCTGACGCTGGCCGCCTCGCCGGGAGGGAGACGCACGCGGGGCGGTGATGGTGAAAGGGCCGCCTGGGGCTGGGCGCTGGGCTCCCACTCGCCGGCGCACCGCTGCGACTCATCCGGGCGCTCCCAGCCAGGGGGCGACGCAGCGCGGGGCGAACGGGCGGCCGCGGGCGGTGGCGCGACCGCGGGGGCGGTAGGGGAGCCGGCTTCGCGTTACCGGCCTCACCTGGGCACGTCGTCGACCCCCAGCGCCTCCTGGAGTCCAGGGTCCGTCGAGGCCGCCTGATCTGCACCTCCAACTCACCACGTTTGCTATGTTGCCTTTTGGGGACAAAACAAGGTACTTCCTTCAGCATCTCCCTGTCTTTCCCACTTCCCCTGGGGGCGCGGTGGGGGCCGGGTGCTGGGGGTTGGCACCCGGGTCACACCGGCGGGGCGACGCTTTACTGAAAATGGACTGAGATTTTTGTCTTCCTTTACTTTCCTGTGGATGTAATACTTTGAGGTCTTAGATGGGGCTCTTTTTAACTCCGCGTCTTCTAACGGACGTTCAGAGTTGGTGTCGATTTGATCACTTTCGGAGGTTTTTAATAAGAGGCGGTGGCTTCGGCGCAAATCTTATCTCTTCTGTTTAATTACTCCGCCCTCCTTTTAAAATCCTGTTCGCCGCTTTCGCCTTCTATCAAAATCCTAAATCTGGAGCGACCAGAGGATAAACCCTGAATGGAAAGTGGTTTCTTTCCGAAGAGGACTTTTTTGCGAGTTTGGGGTGAGGCACTAAGACCATCTAGGTCTGGAATTATCGATTGCTGGGAGCCAACAGTTTTTAGAGGTCACCTCCTCCTAGGCCATCTGTCCCCGGTTTGTTTTCACCCTTGCACACTTCCACTCTTCCGCCCTTAATGAACTATAGCGCATAGAATGGGGAATGGGCAGGAGAACTGGGCTGATATTTTAAATGTGTAGGGGGATGTTCTTTAGAGATGTTCTTCAGGCAGATTATTAAGAAAGAACAAAATTACTTATTTTAAAATCAGCGTAAATGTCCTTTGTCCCCCCCCCCCCCATTTTAAAGACAAACTTGGGATTGTTTGCCGGTAGGTTTTAACTCATACGTAAAAGCACTTCACTTTGAGAGCCTGCCAGAACTTTGAGTTACTTTTTTTTGGAAAATAAATTGAATGAGTTAAGTTACATTTCTTTTCACATTACTTTTTTCCCCAAGTAGCATAGGATTAAAATCCCAATTCTCAAAAGTACACTGCTTAGTGTAAAATTTAGACCTTCAGTTTGGATTTTTATATTACAGTTGGTGTTGACAAGAGGCTGAACCCTTTCTGTGATATATATATGTGTGTGTATATAATCTTGAGAGAAGAGTTTATCTTGAGTGTAAGCCGGAAAATGAAAGTGTAAGACATTCAAGAGTAGGGCAGGCCCTCAATTTTAGGAGTTACAAGGCGCTGAAAGTTGTCAGTGTGAAGAATATAATCTAAGTCTTATGCGTAGCCAGAGGTTTTTCAAGAAACAGTATTCCAGTTTGGGCTTATATTTGATGGCATTAACTGGAAACTTAAAATAAGAATCAGAGATTGGGCACTAGTTGATTATAAAAAGGTCAACCTGCTG